GCGCTGTCGCTGTCGGAAGAGGAGTTCAAAGAGGTGTTTGGGATCGACAAACCGTCGCCGGAGAAGGAGCTCATCTTCTTCTGCCAAGCTGGAGTGCGGGCAGAGACTGCACAGGACCTCGCCAACTCGTACGGCTATGAAAAGACCGCGGTGTGGCCGGGGTCGATGAAGGAGTGGCTGGCGCACGGCGGCGACAAAGATGTATAGATACATAGTGTAACTAATTGCGGTGGAACTCGAAGCTGCGGAACTCTTTGCCCCGCTGCTTTTTGCGCTTGCGCTCCATGACCTTGTCGCGCTGGCGCGCCTTCATGTGGTCGAACTTCCACTTCTGGACGACCTTCTTCTGCTCGGACTTCTTGAGGTGGAACTTGGTCTTGTTGCCCTGGTTGATGGAGCGCTCGTAGTCGCGTAGGACCTGCCGCTCGGTGTCACGGTTCTGCACGGTCTGCAGCCTAGAGCGCATGCTGGTGAGCCGCTGCTGCAGCTCCTGTACCTCGCGCTCGGAGGCCTTTCTGAGGAACTTCTTGTCCGCAAGCAGCGCCGATAGCTCGCCGATCTCCTTCTCCCTGTAGGCGTCTAGAAACTTGTAGTTGTTACGCACCTTGGCCAAGTCCTCAGCGCGGCCCAGCGACTTGTCAAAGCGGATATCCGGCAACGGTTCCTCGCGCCGTGCGGCCTCCAGGCCGGGAATCTGCCGTACCTTGCTCACTGGCCGCTTGGCAGACTGCTCTGATGGTGCATGCTTATGCCGTCTGCCGCTGCTGCGCCGCTTCTCGTCCTCCTCGAAGAATCCTGCCTCCGAGTCAGAGGAGTCGTCGCCGTCCGAAGCCTCGCGTCGGCTACGGGCGCTCTCCCGGGGGCGGGCATCCTTCCGCACGCGTGTATGTACTGCTTCATGGGCCTCTTCCCGCTGCAAGGCGTCTTCTGCTTTCTTTAGCGACCCAAACGTCAGAGAACTTAGCTCATCGTCATCTGAGCTGGCGTCGCCTGCGTAGTGCTGTTTTCCGTGCAGCACCTGCTCTAGCTCGTCGTCTTCGGAGCTGCTTTCATCTACACCGGGCTGGAGATTCTTGAAGTAGTACGACATATCAGCCCTGTCGTCGATACCAGGTTGGCGTAGCCCGATGAGATGAGCTCCAAGCTCTATTTTTGGCCGGAAAATTTTCAGAACTCGAGCGACTACCAGTGACGCCGCCCATGCTAAACACTATATATACGATCAGTTCCATGGCGCTGCTTAGCGTGCAGGACGCTGTTCCATCCTGCAGCATCCGCTGCTGCGCGGCCTCCGCGCCGTGCCGTCCTGAAGCCACGGGCTGCTGCACTATATACATGACTGGGGCTCCTTGACGCGCTTACTGCGACTCAATATTCTCCTTCAGCTGCAGCTTGCGCGAGTAGCGGTCCAGCTGGGTCGAGAGCTCAGTAAATGACAGCCCTGCGGGATCTAGTTCCATCTCAGTCTTGTCCTTAAACACCACCTTGATCAGAGGTGTCTTCTGCGAGTTCGCAGTCAGTAGCTCGTTAGAAAGCTTCGTCGAGATGGCCCGCTGCCGGGGTGGAATGGCGCACAGGAAGAGCCTGGCTGTTTTTGCTGCGGTGCGTTAGTAACGGTCCAGCGAGAACGCGCACTGCGGGCGCCTAGAGAAGAACATACCCTCCGGTCCAAATGGATTGAACCGCACAAATATCTTAGTGAAGTACTTAGTGATCATAGAGATGGGCCTGACGCAGCGGGGAGCGAGGTCTGGTATGGAGGTTTCGACATGGTCATATCGCAGCAGAAACCAACCTTGATCAATTTTTAATGCTGGGTATAGCCGGGTAATGCCGCTCACCGCTGGCGATGCTACATAAAGACGCCAAGATCGAGTTACAACTCGTCGTGGTCGTCGTCGTCCGACCGGCGGGTGCGCTTGCTACCCTTCAGCGTCTCGAGGAAGCGCTCGCGCTTCGAGAGGGGGCCCTCCTGCGGTTTGGCGACCTTCGAGAGAAACTCCGCTACTGCGGGCTTAGTTAGCTTGCCGCTGTAGACGTGGCACTCGTCGCTCTTCGGGTCAAACAGCAGGAGCGCACTACGGTCAAGGTTCCCGGCCAGGTGCTCCGCGCACGACCGGAGCCCAGGCCTGTCCGGGACAGGCGTGTCTTTGGGAAGCTTCGCGGCCGCCACAAAGGAGAAGTCCACCGCGCCCAGCCAATCGATGGCCATGCTCTTGTACAGCGGCGCAACACGGTCGCGTGTCGACGCTAGCACTGCCAAAGGCCGGGAGCCGCCGTCTTCGAACAGCACGCGGAGTTTGTCGCCGTCCAAGCGCCGCACGTGATTGCGCATGCGCGCCAAGCTAAAGTCCACCATGGGCCGCAGCTTCCGCGGGCCCTGATAGGGCTCGCGCGAGTGCCGGGCGCGACCGCCGGCCTTGCCCGCTGCCGGGTGGAACACCGCTAGCGTCGGGTAGCCCTCCACGCCGTGCTTCATGCAGAGCTGCTGGTTTGCCTCGACGTGGCAGTTCACTGCTGCGACCTGCACCAGCCCGTCCAGGGCCCGGGCTGCACGTTCCATCGTCGGCTTCAGTTTCTGACAGTGGCCGCACCAGGGCGCGTAGAACTCCACCAGCGTCGTGTGGTTGGTCCCGTATACAGCCCGCTTGAAAGTCTTGGGAGTCAGCTCCATGATCTGCGGATTGCGATCGTAGAAGTTCTGCGCGGCTACAAGTCCGCTCAAAGCCACTGACAGTAGTCCAATCTTCATTCTGCTCTCCAGCCTGCTACTGTGTATCGCCTCCCGGGGTTCCTGTGTTTGCGTCTTGTACTATGTGGCTCCATGAACAGCCTCGGAGGTGCACCTCAAAAATACGCATGGCTTATCCCAGCGACGTACGAACAGTCCGCTGGCCCAAACGGATCCGTGCCGCGACCTTCGACGAAGCAGAGCGGTTGATACGGAACTGGAAGCTTATAAATTGCTAGTTCTACGGAAGCGGCCGCCCCTGGACTGCTCCGCCCCTTCGCGGCACTCAGAAAGCATATAAGAGCTCACTCCTTCCCGGCCCGCGCACTTTCGGCACAACGTGTTGGCAGATAGTAACCAATTCTGTGCTTGGATCAGCAGCAATGCCCCAAAGCCAGGGGATAGAGCGGTCTCCGTTCAGCTTTTACGCGTTCTATCAGCTTTACGCGTACTTCCACAAGGATGCCCCTGCGGTGACGTTCGATGCAGTCAAGAGTAAACTATACCACCACTACCCGATGGCATCCGGGCGCGAGAACGAGCACTCGTCGGTGTTTATCACATGGAAGAAGCGCGACGAGCGCGGCGAATACCAGTTGCGCGGATGTATTGGCACGTTTGCCAAGCTGCCGTTGTTACGCGGCATCGAAAAGTACTCGCTTATCGCGGCACTCCAGGACTCGCGATTTCCTCCGATAGAGGCTGGGGAGCTTGCGAGGTTGAAATGCAGCTGCAACGTGCTCTCGCGTTTCAAGACCGTGTTCGAGGAGGGCGCGGGCGATATCTACGACTGGAAGGTCGGGCGCCATGGGGTGATCTTGCGGTTCAGGCACCCCACAACGGGAAGGACGTGCAGCGCTACCTTCTTGCCCGAAGTCATGGTCGAGCAGGGCTGGAGCCAGCTGGAGACGTTTGAGAACCTAATCGAGAAAGCTGGCTGCTGGCAGCACGTGGATGAGCTCATGGACAACTACGACCGCTACTTCATTGAAGTCATCACTTATCGCGGCGATAAGAGTGAAATTTCCTACGATGACTTTGTCAAACAGTTGAAGGCGGTCCAGAAGGTCTAAGTCCTGCTGGCACTGGGACGCTATTCCCCAGACGCGACTATGTAATTCCGCTGGTAGTTCCGGCGCGCGATACCTAATTAGAAATGATCTGTATAAGTTGCATTGTTATATGGAATAGCTTCCAGACCTATCGATGGGTCCTCGGCAAATCCGCAGGGCGGTATCAGCTGATTTTTGGCTGCGCCGTTGGCACAATTCGGACGCCGATCCCATCGCGCGATCCAGGCACACTCCTCGCGGGGACCGGCTGCGATGCTGCTAATGCCGTACCTAGTCTCTCCTTTTCTTTCTAGGAGTGTCCATCCGCGGTACCTTTGTCCGTCGCCCGATGAAGCTGCTGCGTGCGGTTATGCCGCTTAACTCAAGGCCTGCGAACGACAGGGACTAGCTCCGAATTACAATAGCATACAAATTAAGATGACCGCCGTACTATAGCCGACTATGAATCACCGAGGCTCAGCTAGCCTAGTACCGGCAGCACATGTGTGGAATTCCGCACGAATGCTACCGTGGCCTCTGCTCCCACACTAGCGCCGAGTCTAGTACTAAATTCGCGCTCACGTATAATTGTATAACCAACCAGCAAACGCGGCGTGCTTTAAGTGAAAGGAACATTTCCTGCGTGGATTTGTCCCTAGGCCAGCGGCGCTTCTCGAATAAGCATGTCGCCCCTGCGGCTACATCCCTGGCGCATTGCGGCTAGCCACTCTATCACTGAAGGCAGTAAGTGTCGGGATATGAAAGCCGACCTTACGTGGCACTACCCCTTAATGCCTGCAGGTTATCGACTGTGCAAGATACTAGCCTCGCCGAGACAGTTGACTCACTTCCTTTCACGGTGGTGATCGTAGCAGGACTCTTTCTACGGGAATGTAGCTACGAACGGAGGGCTAGAGACTGTCCCATCCCGCTGAACGGATTGATGGGAAGTTTCTTCCTAGCTGAGGATTTGTAGGATGAAACACACACAGTAAATACTGGAACCATCCTGTCCTTGGTTTCGGTCTGAGAGAGCACATCCCGGTGACCGTCATAAAGGGTGGGAATCGCGCTTGTGTGGCCACTTTCTCGTCTCCGTAGGTGCAAAGAGGCCGTAGGTCGCATTGCTAATTATCACCACTCGCGTAGTGCGTCATCTACAGGCATAATAGTATTGTTGCATATGACGTGTCATTAGTGAATAAGTTCTCACATCTGGGCATATGGCGCAGTTGGTAGCGCGCATCCCTTGCAAGGATGAGGTCATCGGTTCGACTCCGGTTATGTCCAATTTTTTGAATTCGCTAGTACGGTCGAGCGTGTTTGTCAGTCACTGTAAAAGGTTAATCCAGACTTGCTGCTTGGTGATCCTAGAGCCCTTGCAAATCAAAGACACATTCACCACTTAACATTAGTAATTAACGTAAAATAAACAACCACAACCATGTCCCTTGGGAGAAAAGCAGCTGAGAAATTAGCCAACAAGATCGTACTTGTTACCGGTGCTTCCGCTGGTATTGGCCGTGCTACGGCAATTGCCTATGCTGACGCGACAGAGGGGGCAATTAAGTTGATCCTAGTGGCCAGACGCTCTGCGCAGCTCACCGGCTTGAAACAGGATATCGAAAGCAAGTATCCTAACGCCAAGGTCCATGTCGGGCAGCTTGATGTGACCAAATTTGAACAAATCCGGCCGTTTTTGGACAGCCTACCAGAGGAATTCAGGGACATTGACGTCTTGGTTAACAACGCAGGGAAGGCTCTGGGTACCTCTAAAGTCGGGGAAATATTGATGGATGATATGCAGGAGGTTTTCAACACCAATGTCATCGGGTTGGTACACCTGACGCAAGAGGTTTTACCGATCCTTAAGGCCAAGAATTCAGGGGACATTGTCAATGTCGGGTCAATTGCTGGCCGCGAAGTGTACCCTGGCGGCTCTATTTACTGTGCCAGTAAGCATGCAGTGAAGGCTTTCACTAGGGGCTTGCGGAAAGAGCTGATCAACACGAACATCAGGGTCTTTGAGATTGCACCCGGCCTCGTGGAAACAGAGTTCTCCATAGTTCGTATGCGCGGTGATGCAGAGAGTGCTAAAAAGGTGTACCAGGGATTTGAGCCTTTAGATGGCGACGACATTGCTGATACGATTGTCTACGCTACGTCCAGAAGATCCAACCTTGTAGTCGCAGAGATGGTTGTTTTGCCCTCTGCTCAAGGGTCTATGTACGACGTTCACCGCAACTGATGTGTTGTCCTTGGTGGAGCTTGCCGTGTTTATGCAGGCGACGAACTGCATAAAATTGATTAAATTAGCTCACTAGGTATAATTCAATATGGTTTTATGAACAGTCTATTAAATAATTACAAACCCAGCGGATATCTATGCAAAGTGGTTCAGTTTCGGACATACAGCAATAGCCATGCTGATTTAACTTTGAACCACGCGTCAGGGTGTCACACTGGAATTAACACTTTTCTGAGCATGTGGTGAAAATGGCACAATAGTACCGTACTTTGCGTCAAACTCGCTGAAATCCAGCTCCTCGTTATCGCCTGACAACTCTCTATATTTTTGAACCACAGCATCCTCCAATTCAATGGAGTCATTGTAGATGGTAGAGCCTTCCGTGTTATATACCCTTGCATTCGCAAAGATCAAATGGAAGTCCTCCACTACTTCTTTTAGGGAATCATAGGCCTTGGCTTCGATATGTCTGGTCACATCTTCAAACGCAGCAGGATACCTAATTAGTAAATAGTAATCCGGATATAACTTCTTGGAAGGTTTTACTAAGAAAATCTCGGCCAAATTCCTCCCTTCCTCATTCCTGTAACTCAGAATATAATCATACAACTCCTTGGACTGCGCAGCAATCTCTTCCCTCACAGCTTCAGGCTGCTTGGGCATTTCCCTTGAATAAATGCGGCCATTTTTGGCGGGACGACCGCGACGCCCTTTAAGCTTCGGTTTCGTCTTACCGCTCCTCACAGACTTTAACGAAGTAGTGACCCTATCTTCCGGAGAGGTAGCATTGTTATGGATTGGCACGTCTTTATCATTCCCGTTAACTGGCGAATCGTCGACTGTTGTCTGAGATAAAGGATTTTCCACCTCGGAATCATCCTCTAACTTAACCCGTTTATTTTTGGGGGGTCTTCCCGGCCCACGCTTCCTCTTCAAAGGCAAGGGCATTCCATCTTCGTCATTAGTCATAGATACATTAGATCCTCCAGTAGAAAGTCTCTCTAATGCATCAGCGTCAAGCTCTTCATCGCTCACTTCGAACTGCTTCAGCCATTGTTCCTCGCTCAAGCTATCACCGTAATGTGCAGCCTTTCTTTCTCTAGTACCCCTTCCCCCGACGAACATCTTTTCAGAATTCTCTTTTTCAAGCTGGGCATCAATATCCTGATGGTAAAATTCTGGTAACTCTGAATCTTCCATCAATCTAGACGTTATACCATCAGCAAACTGCTTCCGGTTTCTCTCTGCATCGATCTCAGCAAAAAGTTTTAGCTCATTATCGTTCCTAGCTAAGATTTCATTCAACTCACTATCATCTAGCTCCTCGTCCTCAGCCGCGCCCATCTCCCGTTTGCGCTTCTGCTCCTCTTCAGCCTCCAACAAAGAGCGCAATAATGCCTCCTGTTCTTCAGCAGTGGATTTATTGTCGAATTTTCCTGCCTGGATAACTTTTCCATCAATATCCAACTTACGGTGTGCTCGCTCCAATATAACCTCTTCTACCGAGTTATCCGTGATTAATCTCAATATTCTGACTTCGTTCTTTTGACCTATTCTATGCGCTCTGTCTTGTGCTTGTAGATCCTGATGAGGATTCCAGTCTGTATCAAAGATAATAACTGTATCAGCAGTCTGCAAGTTTAAACCTAGCCCACCTGCCCTGGTAGAAAGCAAGAAACAGAAGTACTCGGAGCCAGGAGCGTTGAATTTATTCAACAAAGCAGTCCGATCATCTGATTTAGTATGGCCATCAAGTCTTAGATACTTCATATCACAGAAACGTAGAAAGTCTTCCATGATATCCATAATTTGAGTCATCTGGAAAAAAATCAACACGCGATGGCCGGAAGCTTTGAACTTAGGTAATATCTTCTCTAGTAATTCGAATTTTCCTGCAACTCGCCAAATATTAGCGTTTGTTTCTCTGTTGGGATTTATTTGGTCCTCAACCTCCTCGAAAACAAATGGATGGTTACAGATTTTCTTCAATTGCATAATTTGATTATTGAAACCACGTAAACCAATCATCTTTTTGCTACTGGGATCATCGACGACAAAAAGTCTACGATGTTTTAGCATCTGCTCGTATAGCTTCTGTTGTAAGGCACTCATTCTACATTTCAACACCTTCTCAACCTTATCCGGCAACTCCTTTTCGACATCTTTCTTTAAACGACGCAATAAGAACGGCCTCAAAACTTTATGCAATCTTCTAATAACTAGTAACGTCTCTTCTTCACTTAATTCAATCTTATCTTGGCCTCCCGTATTCGCGAATGGTGTGTTAAACCATTCATCAAAGGATTTTACCGAATTGAAGATTTTCGGCAAAACAAAGTTCAATAAAGCCCATAGCTCTGGTAAGTTATTCTGTAATGGCGTCCCCGTTAAAATTAACCTGTAATCCGTGTGATAATATTGGTTCAAAGTTAATGATAACTTGGATTGCGCATTTTTCATCCTATGGCCCTCATCAATTATCATGTGCACCCATTTCACCTTGGATAACAAGGGTCTTTCTTTGATGATGTACTCAAAAGTCGTTAGTACGACGTCGAAATTGCCAGACTTTATAATACCTGACAAAGCTTTCCGTTCACTAGGTGGGCCTTTGAAGGCAAGCTTCCTTAAAGTAGGGGCCCACTTATCAAACTCGGCGTTCCAATTCGTTAACGTAGACAAAGGAACTATAACCAAGAATGGGCCATGGATACCTTTAAATTCGTATAAATAGGTTAATAAAGAGATAGTCTGGATGGTTTTACCCAACCCCATTTCATCTGCAAGGATTCCATTTAAATGATTGTTGAATAGTGATACCATCCATTGTAAACCCTTTAATTGATACTCCTTTAAGGTACCCCCGACTAATATTGATGGCTGTACCCTCACATCTTCTTTTATTCTGTGGGCGACTTCATAGTAATCTATCTTCTCCCGCTCGTCGTCGTCCACGTCGAGGTCAGACTGCAGTTTGGCAGCTTCCTCGGTAGCGTGTTCTTCTTCGACATGTGAGGATATTTTGGCCTGGGTATGCTTTTGCTGATCCTTTACGGCTCTTGTTAAAGAATCCAAGAATGCGTTTGTCTGTTTTAACAAATGCGTAATTCTGGTATCTTTCGTTTGATCTAATAATTTGATATACGCCTCTTCATCATTGGACTTCAATGCTTGCAAACGCTGTCTAGCATTCTTTTCCACCCGCTTCTGTTCCTCCTTCTCTAGATTGTTGTGGACAGTTATTAGTCTATGGCTGAACTTCATTCTAGCAGCGCGCCGTTCCATTCGCTGATTAAACCAATTAACAGAGTACTCCATTATAGTCTCTAGCTTGGCAGATTTCTCAAACTTCTTCCGCTCATCAAGTTGCATTTCGTGTCTTTGATACAAGTCGTTTGTGAGCAGTGCGTCTTGTACATTAATCTTACGGATCTTCGACAGGAAGTTCGGATGAGTGTTTGTCAAAAGGGTGTTCTGAAACCAGTCAAACTGCAAAATATGACCACGAACAGCCTTCTGGAGGGGAAGTAGCTGCAAAGCAGAATATTGTAAAAGAGCATCTTCCTTCTCCTGCTTGCTTAGGGAAGAATCTAGTAACTTGTACAAGGCATCATCCACAGATGTATCAATATCCAATGCAATCAAAGTCTGGTAAACTTCCATAGCGGAGTGCACATCAATGCCCGTGGGAAGGATGCCTGGTTGAAGCATGAGTTTCGGGCTACTACTTGAGGTAAACAATGTATCGTACGGAACAACAGGTGGTAGGGAAGGGGGCATATATGTATCGACTATTACTGCAGGATTGGTCACATCAATGTATTTTAGGATTTCTGGGTGCTGCTTCCTGTACTCATCCAGAGCTTGCGTCGGCATATGCTTTGGCGGCTCCTGCCCGTAACCCTGGATATCGTCTTGTCTGCCCTCGGTTGGAATGTGCTTTGCCAGGGACGCCTGTGGTATTGTCGACCTCGGGGATACGCTTCCCGCTGACGTCCGGCGGATCGCCTCCGGCACACCCATGGTCTCTGGGCTCACTGTT